ATCAGAAGCCGTTCAGAGCCTCTTTGCAGGCAGATGAGAGAGATGGACAGGAAGATGAGGTACGAGAGTGAGGTTAGGGTCTCTGAGCAAATTATAAGTGATTACGGGTACTAGGCTGAAGAGGTTCTCTCGCCTCATAATATAAATTCTTAGGCAGAACTTCTTATGCAGTCAGAAATTCTCCAGCTTAAGCGCACCATCAATATATTCTTATTTTGAGCATTGTATTGCTACTCTATTCTCATCTAATAAATTTTTTGTTGATGTGTTCTTCTATGCGCGTCATATCAAAATCGAATCTGAATTTTGGCAGTGGCAAAAGACCTTTAACTATCGAGTGCTTGCTGGTCAGATCCAATCTGAACTTTTGTTGCCTGGATCAAGTTGTGGGTTTGCGTTGATAAGGTAATACTAATGAGCTCATTTCAAGCTAACTTCAGGAACGAAAAGACTTGAAAATATGAATTTTTTATTAGAGTATTGAGGAACTTGTTCAGAAAATTCTGCCAATTTGCAGTACTGACATACAGTAACAACTGACATGAATTTTTATTAAATTAATTCCAATGGGAACATGGAGAAGGCGTTGGGTTTATTTCCCATACCATCCACCCATTCCTCCCATGCCCCATCCTCCCATTCCCATTCCCATGCGCGGAGGAGGTGGAGGGCGTCTCATTCCCATCCCCATTGAGCCCATACCGCCATACATTCCACCCCATCTGCCCCATTGGCGTTTTTGGCGGAGTTTTCTAAAAGTAGAATATCTTGACCAGTTATCAGCGGCGGTCGCTGCAGAAAATTCTTTCGAAAGGACCCAGAAAAACTTCGCTTAAAAAAGGGACGGCTCTAGGCTGCTAAACTGGGCGGCACTCGCTTCATCAATTTTCCACAAAGTTAGTGTATGTCATTTTTGGAAAAAAGTCATATTTGGGTCAAGTGTAACAGAATTTTGAAGCAGTGTAGCTCGCCAATTAGGTATGTAAGTTGTTAATCAGCAAGAAATTATGTATAATTCTTGGAATTGATAGTTACAGAAAAAGGGTTAGAACTTGAGACATAGAAATCTATCTCAGTTTTCTCGTAAAAATTTTCGCGGCGTAATTGTGTCTACAATCTTTTCTTGAAATTCTAAAATCACATCGACTTCCCATTCTGAGGTACGTGTAACATT